CCTTACTATCAGGCCAGGCACAGTGGTTCATGCCTATAATCTTAGAACTCTGGGAGGCCAAGGCGAGTGGATTGCCTGAGCTCACCGGTTCAAGACCAGCCTGACAAAGAGTGAGAACCTCACCTCTAAAAATAGCTGGACATTGTGGCGGACACCTATAGTCCCAGCTACTAGGGAGGCTAAGGCAAGAGAATCACTTGAGCCCAAGAGTTTGAGGTTACCATGAGCTATGAAACCACAGCACTCTACTGAGAGCAACAAAGTGAAACTCTGTCTCAAAATAAATAAATAAAATAAAAGTCCTTAGTATATGTTAGATGAGAAATTTTCTTTCTTTTTTTTTTTAATAAAAGACTTATTGTTTTATTTTTGGGGGGATTCATTGAGGGTATAAGAAACCAGGTTATAATGATTTCATTTGTTAGGTAAAGTCCCTCTTACACATGAGAAATTTTCAGTTGTTTCAATCTATACAGCACTCTTAAATAAGAAATGTTGCTAATTCCTTCTCAGAGGTGAAAGGGCCTCTCATCCCAACAGTGTGCTGCCCCATCTCTGGGGGCTGGCCACTTAGTCTCAGGGTGTAGAGCTCCTACTCCCTAAAAACTCCAATCTCCCAGAACATTTGGGGTTAGAGAAAAGCCACCACAGGAGCTGCTCTGAGGTCAGCCAGTGAGAGAGAATGGGGGTAAGGACCACCAATCCTTTCCAGGGGGCTGCTAAGGAAGAGAACCTAGAGTTGATGTTTTAACATAAGATAACAAGAGCAGATAAGTGACAGATCAGTCTACAGAGGTATTAGTGAAACCTGCTGACAGTGGTGCTAATCAGAAATGCTGGAGAACCGGGAGGCACCCATAGCTCAGTGGGTAGGGCGCCAGCCACATACACCAAGGCTGGCGGGTTCGAACCCAGCCCGGGCCAGCTAAAATCAATAATGACAACTACAACAACAAAAAAAATAGCTGGGTGTTGTGGTGGGTGTCTGTAGTCCCAGCTACTTGGGAGGCTGAGGCAAGAGAATTGCTTAAGTCCAAGAGTTTGAGGTTGCTGTGATGCCACGGCACTCTACCAAGGGCAACACAGTGAGACTCTGTCTCAAAAAAAAAAAGAAATGCTAGAGAACCAACAAATGAATAAAAAAGAAACTGTAAAAATCTGATTTTCCTATGTGTAAATAATAACTAATTACAGTTATTATATGAACTGCTTATCTAATTACCATGCAGTACACTAATAATCCTGCATATCACTAAAGGTGTCAAATTATGAAGTATATGATTTCATCACAACACTAAAGTCCAACATGCTCAGGTTCCATAAATTGTTTAGTATATTTGTTTACTTACAACTTAAAGCTGAAATGAACAACCCTAGCAAAACAAGAACTTGTGTTATTGTAAAAAACATTAACAGTCACCAAGCACAACTGGAAACTAGAATAGCCAGAGCTTACGGTGGCTGAGAACACCACACAGAGATTCCAGGGGCAAGAAATGGTATATCTTGCAGTTTTATTCTGTATAACTATAGCTACACTGCCACTGCTCCCCTAGTCATTTGAATAAGGATTTTCCACCCCACATATCACCATTCGTCATTTGAAACTGTCAAGAATTTATAGTAACATGAAATTTGGAGTTGCATAGGCAGATAACTAAACTTTGACTGGCTGGATAGAAAAGAGCTCTCTCAGCATATAAGGTGTAGTTTGGGTTTTGTAATGACCACTCAGGGTTGGGATTCCAGAAATTACCAATCACAAAGTCCTAAGAGCTTGTTCTGCCTTTTCTAGAAGTTTTCAGTCTTGTGCCCAGTCCTTGAGCTTCACGAGCATTCTCATAGCCAGGACTCCAGGTGTGAGGAAGCCTGAGGCACCTCCGAAATAGCCCTGCTGGTTTAAAGATTACCCCACTGTTACTTACCCTGTGCACACAGAAGGAGCTTATTTCAGCAGGGCACAGACCAAAGCAAAGATAGGAAGGGATAGCTTTAAACTTTATAAAACCCTACAAATCCAAACTATACTCGATTTCACAAATAGTGCTGATCTGGCTTTCTGCACACTTGTCACTAAGTAACTACATAAATCCTGAAAGGAGTTTTCTTCTTTCGGTATTACTAGTTCCCACTCAGTTCAAGGGTTCAGAGGTCTTCTCTGTGGGATTGCTCATTTAGAGATTTAGCTTTCACTGTGATAAACAAAAGAATATTAAAACAAACTAGACTGATTTATGGGTCTGCTGGAAAAAAAAAAGTTATCATACAACTCTAGCCCTTCATCTACAAACTCCTACGTGCACCAAAATAAGTAATGGGGCTGTTCTAAAGCAAATACTGCCCTTGCGCTAAAAAGGGAGAAAAGTTTTTCATTTCCATTATGAATTACAAAAACTCCAATCCTTCTACAAAACCCCACTCTCCCATTTTACACTGTAATGCCACATTAAAGATACAAAGTCACAAGAGAGCTCAACCTTACAACTGCAAATCAACAGTCACTAAATCCTGTTGGTTCTGGGATCCCACCTCCTTCCACAGTCCAATTTGGCTTGTTTTCAACCCCAATGGTACTGCCTTCTCTGGCTCCCTAATTATCTTCTACTCCTAGTCAACCTCAACCCCTCTGATCCACTTCCCAAAAATCTGAAGTGATTTTCCTAAATTGCAAATCCATCCTTACCTTCAGTATAAAATCCAACTCCTTAGCATGGGCACTTCCCTCCACACACCAGACAGTTATCGCCAATTGTCTAAATGTGCCACACTCTTCAGACATCCATTCTTTGTACTCACACCCTACACTGTACCTTCTCTCCAGCTTAGAACAACTCTCACTTTCCCTCTTCTTTCTCTATTAGTTCTAATACTCCACTTAGACTTCATCTCTTCTAGGAGGAACATTTCCCTTATTTCCTCTCTTATGCTCCAGCATCCCACTGTTCCATAGCACTCCTCACACTATCTCCCCCATCAGAAAATCAGGAGGCTGGAACCGAGATTTCTTTTCTCTCTGTAACTCCCCTAGCCAGCACATGATCTGGCATAAACAAGGCACTCATTAAACCAAGAAACTGCCATTACACTTCAGTTCCAAATCAGCACAACTCTTCCTACCTCCCAAAAGAGTTATGCTAAAATTTCTGACCATTTAAATATTAAATGATGGTCTTTGACCACTAAACTACTAATGAGTCTAAGATGCTTTTTCATTAATGATAATGATAATTATGGCAATTGTCAGTTGAAGACACAGAACATGGTACAATGGACAAAAAACATTGACTCTGGATCCCAAAAGATGGAACTGAGTTTAGACAAATTACATAAGCCTAGGTCTGTGGTTTTATAGTAGAATTTATTTTAAGTCTGGGAATGTGTCTGGTATAATATTTGGCACAGACAGACCCTTCTCATCTCCCTGTGTACTGCATGACCCTGGGTATACAGTAGAGAAAAAGAAACATGTTCCCAGGCAAAAATTGATGGCAATAGAGGTGAGATCCTCAAAGAGGCCATTTTTGGCTGGAAGGTGAAAAAAGGAGCCTTTAAGGTCACTGGAATTGTTATCTTCATGATGGTTATACAGATATATATGTAGTTAAAAATATATTGATCTGTGCACTTAATATCTATGTACTCAACTACATGTAAATTATACTTCAACAATTTTTTCACTAATAAAAGAAACAGGCTAGGCGTGGTGGCTCACACTTGTAATCCCAGTACTCTGGGAAGCCGAGGTGGGTGGAATGTCTGAGCTCACAAGTTCGAGACCAGCCTCAGCAACAGTGAAACCCTGCCTCTAAAAATAGCCAGGCATTGTGGCAAGCGACTGTAGTCCCAGCTACTTGGGAGGCTGAGGCAAGAATCACTTGAGCCCAAGAGACTGAGGTTGCTATGAGATGTGATGCCACAGCACTCTACTGAGGTGACAAAGTGAGACTCTGTCTCAGAAAAAAAGAAAAGAAAAGAAACACATTCCCCCTGTGATAGAAGACAGCCCAAAAGACAAAGCTTTGAAGTCAAAGTATGTTTGCACACTGAAAGTAGTAACATCCCGGGACATCCCGGGATCACAGTGTTATTGCAAAGGGTAAGAAAATGCCTTGGTAAACCCAGTACTGGTAGAAGGCAGAATAAATTCCTCATAGAATAATGTATCACAATGTCCCAAAACTACAGAGAAGCTACCATATTTAATAAAACATATTTATTTCATGAAGTTACTGAGTTCATAATCAGTCATAATGTATTTTCTCAATAATAAATACTCAAAAATACAACCACAATCCTGTTAGCAGTGAAACAATTTTCTGAATTGTTTGAATTGTCTTTTCTCTATATCTATGGCAAAATGGCTGAGGACCTAAAAGGAGGCTAGACTTCCTCTGTATAAATGTTCATAATATTAACATTCACTGTGTTCTAACCACTCTTCTTTATACACACTACCTCATTTAATCCTCATGCAACCTTATGGGAGAAGTTCTATTAATACATGAGAGAACTAAAGCAAAGCAATTAAGAAAGTTGTTTTATGTCTCCCAAAAGGTGGATGGCAAAGCCAAGATTTGAGCCCAGGCACCTTGACTCCAGAGCCACTATCCAATAGGGCCTTTGCTTATTTTTATTTTGAACTAATATTAGGCTTACAGAAAAGTTGCAAATATAGCACAAAGAATTCCCATATCTCTTTTACACAGCTCTTATGTTAACATCTCACAGAAGCACAGTACAATTGTCCCTTGAACAACCAGGTTTGAACTGTGTCAGTCCAATTATATTCAGATTTTTTTCAACCAAACACAGATCAACAATACAATATTTGTAGGATGTGACCTCAGAAGCAGAAGGTCAGCTTTTCATACACATGGGTTCCTCAAAGCCAACTTTGGGGCTTCAGTATGTACAGATTTTGGTACATGCAGGGGTCCTGCAACCAATCCTCCACATAAACTGAGAAGTATGATGTACATCAATCAAAACTTAACAAATTAGTGCTCAAACTAGTAACACATGTACCAAAATTAGAATGATACAGAGAAGATTAGCATAGCTCCTGTGCAAGGATGACATGCAAATTCATAAAGCATTCCATATTTAAAAAAAAAAAAAGAATTAACACTGGTACAACGTTTTGTTTCTTTCTTTCTTTATTTATTTTTGAGACAGCCTCACTGTTGTCCTCAGCAGACTGTTATAGCATCAGCTCACAACAACCTCAAACTCTTGGGCTCAAGTGATCCACTTGCCTCATTCTCCCAAGTAGCTGAGACTATAAGCACCCACCACAACACCTAGCTAGTTTTAGAGACAGGGTCTCACTCTCTTGCTCAGGATGGTCTGGACCTCTGAGCTCAAGCAATCCACTCGCCTCAGCCTTCCAGAGTGCTAAGATTACAGGAGTGAGTCATTACTGGTATGGCCCCACACTGGTACAATATTCTTAACTAAACTACAGACTCTGCTGAGATTTCCCCAGTTTTTACAGTAACATTCTTTTTCTATTCCAGGATCTTACATTGCATTTAGTTGTTACCTCCCTTTAGTATTTAATCTTATGACAGTTTCTTAGTCTTTCCTTGTCTTTCATGGCCCTGACACTTTCAAAAGAACACTATCAGGTATTTTGTAATATATTCTTCAGTGGAGTTTATGTTTTCTTGTGATTAGACACTGTTATGGATTGAGGGGAAGAATACAAGAGGTGAAGGGTCCTTCTCATCACATCATATTGGTGATGTTAACCTTGATCACCCACTAATACTAGGGTCTGCCAGGTTTTTCCACTATACAGTTACTATTTTTCTGTCTAGCCTACACTTAAGGGGAGGGGAATTAAATTCCATCTCCTCGTGAGAGAACTACTAAAGAATACGTGGAAATGGGTTGGAAGCAGCATAGTAATCAGTAAATATTTTATGGGAGATATTCTGAGGCCATGCAAATATTCCACTTCTCCTTAAACTTTCACTCACTAATTTTATTCACTGGCAACTTGCTTACAGCACTTATTACTGTGGTATGCTAAAGGTGATTTTTTTATCCCCCTCTTTCTTTCCACATTTATTAATTGGAATTCCTCTATAAGAAAGAGCTATCTGTTTTCCCCCATCTATTTATTTAGTCATTTGTATTGTGAACTCATAGATATTTATTTTATTGTTTGGTTTACCCAATACTATTGTTGCTTATTTTGTTCAAATTGTTCCAGCTTTGGTTATTGAGAGCTCTTTCAGGTTGGCTTCTGTGTCTTCTTGACATGTCCCTGTCTTTTTCATTTTCCCTTCCATAGTCCTGGAATCAATTCTCCAGGGAGCTGAAAGGGCCACTTTTGCTCAAATCAACGCAATTTCTTATGAGAGTTGTCAAGTTTTGTATTCCTAAGTATCTCCTATTGTGGATGTACAACATATAGTGATTAGGCACTAATCAGTATTTGCTAATGGCTCTGGAAATACACACAGAGAGAGCAACTGCCCATTCACGCACTCACACAGCTGGGAAGAGGAGACAAACATCCTCTTCTTCTGACCTACCCTTCTGGCCAAAGTATATAAAAGACCCACTCAGGCCAGGCATGGTGGCTTATGCTGGTAATCTCAGCACTCCGGGAGGCCAAGGTGAATGGACTGCCTAAGATCACGAGTTTAAAACCAGCCTGAGCTAGAGTGAGACCCCGTCTCTAAAAATAGCCAAGCATTGTGGCAGATACTTGGAAGGCTGAGGCAAGGGGTCACCTGACCCCAACTCTGAGGTTGCTGTGAACTATAATGCCAGGCACTCTACTTGGGGACAACAAAGTGAGACTCTGTCTAAAAAAAAAAAAGCCCCACGCATTTGCCAGCATATACTAAGACAAGGACAGAAATCAGTAGTTCCATTCCCCTGTCTGACTGCAGCTGCTTTAAAGATGTGCTAATACACCTTTCTTTAGACACCAGCCAAGAAATGCTAAAATCACTGTCCTTTTTTTTTTCTAAATGGATGGGAAAACTGAGATATAAGAAAAGTTAAAAATATTCCCAAGATCATAAGGTAGAGGTAGGACTGGCAGGAGGACCCCTAAGAAGCACTGCTCTCCCATGCTCTTCTCCAAGGCACTCCAAGAGGGAAAAGTTCCTGGTGACAATGTTTTTCTGTCTACCCATGTCCTCTTCCCTTCAGAGTTCAAGCAGGTAGAGATTAAGGGATACAGCTAAGAAATGCATGCATTTACAGAGTCTAGCGATCTAGACAGACCTAGGCCAAGTTAAAATAGTATAACAAAAACAAACTTAAGGTTGAAGATTTCATCCAGGTATCTATACATCAAAGGCTAAAATCAAAATCAATGAAGGAAAGAGATAAAAGATTTTGTTACACTCAAATCCAGATGGCCACAAAACCCAAAGACCAAAGAGGTTAAAACAATGCGGGAAAGCAATCAGTTAAATCTATAGGCGTCGAAATTTACAAGGCCCAGTACCTACCTGCTAATGAAGAAAACTGATGCTAGCCAGATTCATCATCCGATGACTCCAATAACCTCATTATTTCATCATCAAAAGAAAATCAGATATTATCTTGAGGAGAGAAGTATAAAAAAATAATAATTTTCAAGCTCAGCACCCATAGCACAGTGGTTATGGCGCCAGCCACATACTCCAAGGTTGGCAGGTTCAAATCCAGCCCGAGCCAGCTAAACAGCAATGACAACTGTAACAAAAAATAGCCAGGTGTTGTGGCTGGTGCCTGTAGTCACAGCTACTTGGGAGGCTGAGGCAAGAGAATTGCTTAGCCCAAGAGTTGGAGGTTGCTGTGAGCTGTGATTCCATGGCACTCTACCCAAGGCAACATAGTGAGACTCTGTCTCAAAAAAAAAAAAATTATAATAATAATTTTCAAAAATTATAGGAGCAGCAATAATGGTGGGTATTTGCTTACTAGATAAAACAGTTAATGCCCTCCATATCCATGGGTTCTATGCATCTGTGGATTCAACCAATTGTGCTTCAAAAATATTTAGAAAAGGCCAGGCACAGTGGCTCATGCCTGTAATCCTAGCACTCTGGGAGGCCAAGGCAGGTGGAATGCTTGAGTTCAGGAGTTTGAGACCAGCCTGAGCAAGAGCAAGATCTCTTCTTTTTTTTTTTTTTTTTGAGACAGAGCCTCAAGCTGTCCCCCTGGGCAGAGTGCTGTGGCATTACAGCTCACAGCAACCTCCAACTCCTGGGCTCAAGTGAGTCTCCTGCCTCCGCCTCCCAGGTAGCTGGGACCACAGGCGCCCGCCACAACGCCCGGCTATTTTTTGGTTGCAGCCGTCATTGTTGTTTGGCGGGTCCGGGCTGGGGATTCGAACCCGCCACCTTAGGTGTACATGGCTGGTGCCTTAGCCGGTTGAGCCACAGGCGCCAAGCCGCAAGATCTCTTCTTTACGAAAAACAGAAAAACTAGCCAGGCATTGTGGCAGGCGTCCCGGCTACTCAGGAGGCTGAGGGCAAGAGAATCGCCTGAGCCTAAGAGTTTGAGTTGCTACAACTCCATGGCACTCAACCCAGGGCAACTGAGTAAGACTCTGTTTGAAAAAAGGAAAGGTAAGACTCAGGCAAATCAGCCCCCAGAAAAGAAAAAAATAACCAACAAAAAAAAGAGATGTGGAGGGGCCAGGCACAGCAGCTCATTGCCTTAATCCTTATACATTTTGGGAGGCTGAAGCAAGAAGATCTCTAGAGGCCAGGAGTTCAAGACCAGCTTAGGCAAAAGTAAGAACTTCTCTCTATAACATTTTTTTAAAAATTAGCTGGGTATGGTGGCATGCATCTATAGTCCCAGCTACTCAGAAGACTTACTCCTGAGTCAGGAGGATTACTTGAGCCCAGGAACTTGAGGTTACAGTGAGCTATGATGATGCTACTGCATACTCTATTGGGACTGACAGAGCAAGACCCTGTCTCAAAATAAACAAACAGATGATATGGAAGCTTATACACAAATTGGTTTATCAGAATGACAAACAAACCTCATAACAAGCCAATTGGAGGGCATCAACATTAAGATAAAAAACACAGAAGTGATAAGAAATCACTTTTATAGATTACAATGGATAACTCTCCTCCCCAAAACTCTTGGATCTAGCTTCTACTACAACATTTCATTAGTACTTGCAGCATTATTCCAAATTTACAATTATATACATACGCCTTTCAGTAAACACAGATATTTTTAAATGACTGTGAAATTTCATCCAAAAGAATTAAGTGTTCATAAATAAATGCCAATTGACCTAGAAGAAGCTAGGGTACCTAGACTGTCATTCTCACCAGCTCTCTCTGTAAATGAACTATAAAGTTGACAAAAGAGCAAATATTAAAGAGACAGATAACCATAAATGATGGTCAGCAAAGATTAATTGAGTCTAACAGGTCATGATGGGTAAGGAAAAGATTTTTTTAAAAGACAGAGGCCAAGATGAGAGAATGGCTTGAGGCCAGGAGTTTAAGACCACCATAAGCTGAACAGCAAGACACCATCTCTATAAAAATAGGAAAATTTGGCCAGGCTTGGTGGCTCATGCCTGTATTCCTAGCACTCTGGAAGGCCAACGCAGGCAGATCCCAAGTCCTTTGGCTCAGGAGTTCTAGACTAACCTGAGCAAGAATGAGATCCCATCTCTACTAAAAACAGAAAAATTAGCCAGACATTGTGGCAGATGCCTGTAGTCCCAGCTACAGGAGGCTGAGGCAGGAGAATCACTTGAACCCAGGAGCGTAAGCTGCTATGAGCAAGGCTGACTCCGTGACATTCTAGCCTGGGGCGACAGAGTGAGCTTCTGTTTAAAAAAAAAATAAAAATAGCACTCGGCACCAATAGCACAGTGGTTATAGCGCCAGCCACATACACCAAGGATGGCGGGTTCGAACCCAGCCCGGGGCCAACTAATCAACTGCAACAAAAAAATAGCTGGTATTGTGGCAGGCTCCTGTAGTCCCAGCTACTTGGGAGGCTAAGGGAAGAGAACTACTTAAGCTCAAGAGTTGGAGGTTGCTGTGAGCTGTGACACCATGGCATTCTACCGAGGGTGACTTAGTGAGACTTAATCTCAAAGAAAAACATAAAAATAAA